GGAAGAAGGTTTTTAGGCTTTTTTGGTAATTTTAGCCACAAAAAATAAAATAGGTTATTTTAGCCACAACAAACAAAACATCACATCCAACCCATAATAATTACACTTTTCTCTCACAAAAAAAGTCAAAAAAGCTAAAAAATCTTTCCCAAGCCAAGCTTTTTAGCCCAGGCTAAAATAGCTAAAAAAGCCAAAAAATCAACTCACTTCCCAAACGGTCCAAAAAAAATTTATTTATTGTTTTTATTTTTAATAAAAATATTTTCTTTTCTAAAAGCGGGTTTACAGAGTCCCTTTTTTAAAACATCTTTACAAAACTCATTTTCTAAAATGTCTTTACAAAACACTTTTTACACTTAAATCATATAATATATTTGTTAATTACACTGACCTCTTTTGTCAAAGTTATTTAGGCCTCGTTTGGAAAGCGACTGGTTTAGTCAAAAAATCAAAAAGTTATTAAAAAAATCAAAAAGTCAACAACTCATACCAAAAAGTCAAATATTTCATTTTTTCTCTACTTTTTGTATATCTTTTCGTAAAAAACCAAAAAGTCATGTCAAACATACTAATTTTTTTTACATCACATTTTAGTCAAAAAGTTACTAAAAAAACATGTTCCCAAACGAGACCTTAGTAACCAACCTTAACAACAAATAGATAATTACTATTTTAGCCTTAGATAGAATTAGAATTCCATTACAACATATATGTGATCAAATAAATAAATAAAAAATATTGGTTGTACTTGATTTGTATTTTAGAAAAAAAAAGGGGTAAATTACACTGACACATCTTGAGATTTATGTTTATTACAGTTCCCCTCCTCACATTTAGAAAATTACACTGACTCCCTGTTAATTTAATTTTATGTATGATGATCATTACGGTGAGGGGGGAACTGTTATGAAACTTTAAACCTCAGAGGGCAATCTGTAATGAAACTTTAAACCTCAGGGAGGGGGATGTAATTTTCAAAAGGTGAGGAGAAAAACTATAATAAACATGAACCTCAAGGGGTGTCAATGTAATTTACTCAAAAAAAGATACAATTTTTTTAAAATAGAAAATAATTAAAATGTCATTATTGGCGATTATTGTCGTTAGCGATTATCATTAGCTATTATTGTCAACCCATGGGAATGTCATTATTGGTCCCGTTTAATAATGCTTTGGTTTTTTTGTTTTAATTTTTTTAGAAAATTGGCAAAAAAATTTATTTACCAATTAATTGTAAAACTAGGAACATGAAGGGTATTTTGATATTGAGCAATGCTCCACACCCCCATCATATTTCCTCCAATTGATAGAAAGCGAATTAGGGATAAATGTTATGCAACTACAAACATTAAAAGAGGTTGTAATTATCTCATACTGATGGGATCAAGAGTGTTTTTACCAACACTCAAAGAAGATCTCTGTAAAATATGCTCCTGTTTTTTCAATAAAGGAAATAAATAATATAGAATTGGACATTCAATTGGAAATATGTTGTTAGGTTGGATGAATTCATTTTAGAATTTACTTTAGTGATTTGAATGATTCTTTTTGTAATGTTTATTGAGCAAATCATTAATGTAAAAAATTATATTGATATAACTACATAAGCAGATTACATTGATCTTTTTATCTTAAGAAAATAAGTATAATGTCTTAAAATTTTATAATTATTTTTATTCACCTATATTACATTTATGTAGGTTATTTTAAAATTTTAAAACTATCAATAATAAAATTGGTTAGTTTGTATAGTATTTTTTTATACTCAAAACCTTATAAAATATTACATTAAATTAGGTAAAAGTTACTTTCACACTACGTGACCTCAATTTCAATCCAAATGTAGGTGAGAGAAAATTTTAAAGAAATTATTCAATACCCGTACAATAAGTTTAGATAGTATTCTAAATTAATAATTATTGGTCTAAGTTATAGCACTTATCCCTTTTGTGTTAGAATTTAAAGATATAACTAATGTGCAATGTGTGAATGAATAAATAATGGAATTGCTTCAAGAGCACTGAGAGCATTTCTAATTTTTTATCAAATCTTATATGAAATTTAAATTTGATAAATTTTTTTGGTGAAAATGGCTTCCAAATATTTCATCAAACTTATATCAAATTTTTCATCAAATCAAGACAAAACAAGTATTTGATGAAACAAACTAGTAATTTTTAAAAAATATATGATAAAATTTAATGCTTCCAAATTTATGAAACCCGACTCATCGGGTATAACCCATTACAAAGTCCTCATTATCAATTGTAGAGGGACAAAAATTAAGACAAAAATTAAGTATGAACCTAAGTGCTAAAGTCATCTTTGTTGGGTGAACAAGAATGATTAAGGGAGCATAGGCTAAAACCCAAAGGAAGTGGGTCAACAGAAGGCCAAAATAGGTCTAACTCACCAAAAATCCGAACAAGCTCCATGAAAAAAATTGGCTAAGTCAAGTTGCAGAGGCAACATTTGGCGATAAAATTGCTAAGGCATTTTGTCTCAGCGCCGCCATTCTTAGTATTGTCGGTGCTGCCACTCCAAGTATTGTCGACGCCGCCATTTGAACTTGTTGAGAGAAAGAGAAAACCGCAACAACTAACTTGAAGAGGTAGCATTTGCAGTGGTCAAGTTACTGAGATACTTTGTTGGCACCGCCATCTCTAGTATTATCGGTACCGTCATTTGAACTCGTCGAAGAAAATAGCTGTCGCAACAATTACAATCTCCGTAACTAACTTGTAGAGGGAAGACTCCACCAGGGTGATAGCAGCCTTTGAGAGAGGCTTTCCCTCCACAAATAGAGGTTAATGCTTGGCGCTGATAGCAGGCCCCAAAGCATTACCAACATAGGGCTGATGGCAAGCCTGAAAGTCATTATTAACTCGGCGTTGATAGTAGGTCCCGAAGCTTACTAGCTTGGCGGTAATAGTAGGCCCCAAAGCTTATTGGTTGGAGCAAAGAACAGGCCCAGAGATTCCAATATACAGCAACAACCTTGTGAAGATGAAAACAAGACAACCCGAAAGTAAGGGACTCCCTTCCTATATACCCAGGTCATGGACCTGTCTTGGTTGCATAGGTAGGACCAAGGAAGCCCCCTTGGCTTAGTACAAGGCACGACTCTAGCTATGGCTTTCACTGTGAGAAGTTGGAGAGTTTGTGGTTAGGTGTCTAAGAGTGGAAGAGTTGCTGAGGTAAACACGAACATGACTGATAGCATGCTATAAAGTCTTGAGAATGCATGTCTTAGCCAAACTGAACTGAGAAGGCAAGTGCATCAGTAGGTATTACTACTGCAAGTGCATTTGCTGAGATTCAAAAAGGAAGTTGCTGACGAATGTTGTCAAATAGATAGTATAGTGCACATACTGAGGCACTTGTGCCAAATAGATAGTATATAGTACATGCAAAGGGACACGTAGCAACCTCAGCCTGGTAGTCTAAGACAGAATATTCCATATGATCCTTAGGGACACATGTCTTTACCTTATTTGGTCACTTTGTATCCTTTAGTACCAAGGAAAAACCTATAAATAAGACCCATTTCCTAATATCAAGAGGAGAACTTCTGAGGATTTGGGGGATATGTTTCCCATTTGTGCATTGCCATTTCCTTCTTCTTGAGCCATTTGCTCCACCCTCACCCAGCTACTCATCCTCTAACTTTCTCAAATTTGTTGACTCATTAACATAGTTTGCCCTCTCTGATTATTCTCATAATCACTATTCATTTCAAACCCCTACATCAATATACTTAACAAGTAGAAGCAATATTTTATCTCAACAAAACATAAGTCAACATCATACTAAATCCTTATATTTCATTCGTGAGTTTTGTTTAGAGATTACAAATTGAGATCACATGTGATAATACATTCACAAGTCCTAAGACTTGAATCTATAGCATGTGATTACAATAATTAAAACTAAACAAATATAGGTATATGTCATAAGTGATTTTACAAAAATACGTAAATTGAATACAAATTAAAATAAATTCATTAAAACTTGCGTGATTACGCAAATTTGTGTTTAACTTGCCTATTTTTGTGAGATCACTTATGTAAGCTTGTGAAAATTTACGTAATTTTGTACAGGATTGCATACGGTTTGTATTGCACATCGGAATTTTTTTTTATTTTTTACATATTTTCACACATTTTAATGCAGATTTTACACTTGAAATTATACAATCTTTGGACCTATATTAATATTTTTTTTGTAAAAACACCTTTGGGTCACTATATGTTAAATGGGTTTAACAACTACATACTATCTTTGTCTTCCTTCTAGATAGCAAAGAGTGGCACAACTATGATATATTTCGAAACTCGAGGATGAAGAAAAATGGCATGACTAGGCTATAGGTTGAAGGTGGATGGGAGATCAAAATTTTTAAAAATTTAAAATTAATTAAAAATAAATTGTGTGACCATGAGTTCAAAGGCACGAGACAAGGAGCATGCATTTTTTTTTTAACACAAGATCTGGTGCCCGGTCATAAATTTAGCGGATTCTATAAAAATAAATTCATATACAGAGATGAACGAGACTGATTAAACTAGATGTTTTGGTAAGTTGGAACTATCTTGTTGCTACACATAACAAATTATGCACTTATAAGACACCCTTCATCTTTCTTGCAACAAATTCTGATTATCCTAGCTTTCCACAAAAGAAGCCCAAGTTTGGTGTAACTTACGGAACTGCTTACAACTTTTTTATTTAGAAAATTTGTGTTAGACTATTTGATCCATTTTTTGCTTACAAATTATGAGAGTCGAAAAAAATTGATTATTGAAGAAATGGGCACTATTAGATTCTACAATCTGATTATCAAATTTTAATTTGCCAAAGCTTGCACCGAACATGCCCAAAGTACTAAATGTTTAATTTGCCAAAGCCTGCACTGAACATGCCCAAAGTACTAAATGTGAGTGTCGGGAAGAGTTCAACTTCATGAACACATTGGAAGGAAGAACAAATCATGGCAGTGATCCAAACCTAAAAATCTTTGAATGACAGAAATTCTAACAATCAAGCAAAACAAAAACTCCTACTAATTAACTGCTGCAACTTACAAGAATATATACTAGATTTGAAAAAGGCTAAACCAAGAAAACCATATGTACCTCCAAAAACTATTCCTTTTACTTTCCTAGCCTAAATACGACCGTGCCCAAATTATCCTATTCTAATTGCAAGTCACTAGACAAAAAACCCAAAAAATTTGTCTACATGAAATCCATCCAAGAGAAGGATTACCAAAGAAATTTATCATGTTGGAGGTGCTCATTTTGACGTCGTCACATCTTTAGCCCTCTAGAAATGAGAATATCTCCATATGGAACCTCTTGCTCAACTCTTATGACATCACGAGAAGCAAGAACTGCACAGAAAGAAAGCATTCACTTATCAAATTCCATTGAGTCAAAATTGTTGCAAGTTGAGAAAGAGATTTTTCAATCAAGAAAAATAAAAATAAAATTTGGAGCATGATGGGTTGATACCGCAAGTTTGATAGAAGAGATGGGCTGCTTTCTTTTTGTTCAATCCAAAGGCTAGCTCATTAAGGGATTCTGTTTGAGTGGTTCCTGGTGTATCAAAATGTGTCTTGAGCTGCCTGTAGGCATCAAGTCCAATGTGAAGCATAAATTAAAAGATCGAAAATTAATATAGGACATCGAGTGGTTCAGTAGAATCTTAAAAAGAATGTTACATTCGAATAGAATCAGTTATCAGGTCAATGGGCAGATTAAAGATTGGTTGTTGAGTTTGTGTAGGTCCAGTTTCCACCAAGAGATCTGCAGAAGTAAAACATGAGAATTGAACAATCCTAGGAGAGCTAAAATGAGGTCATTTACTATTGCTTGCAATTAAGTGGAATGGAAAGGTCAGATGAGCTAATTACCGTTCTCAGGTGTCAGGCCATTTTCAGATAGTCTAGCTAACTTGAAACTCAGGTCCGGTTGCTGCCATGAATTCTCCTCAGCTACTGGTTCAAGGCCACTCCCATCGTGTCTAGATGAAGAATAAGGCCTTTTCTTGTTGGACCTGAACAGTTTGAACTTCTCATTCAAAACCGACCACTAAACAGTTTTGATGAGGCACTAGAATATAGTGATTATGACTTGTCAAAATAAAATTTCCCCTAAAATTTTAGAGAAAGCATAACAAACCATTTTTTTTTGTCTCACCTTATAATTATATGGATTCAGTGTAAGAAATGACACTCTACGAACCTGCCTGAATTAACATCTGAATTATTTGACAGGAAACCATGCCCAGATCCTGAACTGGGAATAGATTTTACTTCATCTCCTGTAGTAGATTCAGCCATGAATATCTTGATCTTAAAGAATTGTGAGAAAAGAGAGAGATGATAAGAATATAATGTACCAGAATTTCCAGGCGTGACCATCACATTGGCCTCATTCACCCACACACCATTGTTCCCAAGGTTGTTGCTTAGCCCCGGTATGAAGACTTCAGTTGGTATCTCGTTAGTTTTGAGATTTGTCCGAAGCTTCTCTCTGGAAACTCCCAATGATTGGGAGCCAAGTCCACTGTGAAAATCTTCAAAAGGCTTCACATTCAAGTATTTTATCAGAGAGAGTACAGAATGTTTTTGGAGATGCTGAAGTAAAGATTAATAGATTGGCTTACAAATCCCAATGGATCAGTATAATGTGCTCTATCTGGTGGTGATGATGAAGAAGGTTCTGGAGGCTGGGGTGGGGATTTCCTCCCTGCATCCAATTGTAGATTAGTTTTACCTTTATATTCTTTTAATAAAGATAATTCTAAGAGCTACTATCATAGAACTCTGACCAGAAGGCAAATCACGGGTAGGTATGGTACTTCTCATCCATAGTTCCAAAAGAGGTGCTGGATAATGTATTTCTCTATTTCCAGTTGTGGAAAGCCCACAGATTAGTGCTACGGGAGGCAATTCCATGAGGTTTCCTATCTCCATGGTAGACATGGCATCATAGATCTGAAATGGATAAAGCATGAAAGCATTTTATTGGAAGGTAATTTGCCACAATTGAATTTAAATAACCCACCAAGTCTATGCATATAGGATGGAATAAACAGGCAGGTGCGTATCAGAGCATGCCTTTCTCTTTCTTCCTCTTCTTGACACAATATCAGAAGTACTCTGAAGCCAGGATTGGTATATGTGACCGGGGATGATAGTTTGTTCATAATCCATGGCAGAGGCTGATGGCTTTCTTGCTTTCCTTCGAGTTGGTCCTTGCCTCTGGTGATCCTGCTGGGGCTATGACATCACATGCACATTCCAGGTTTGTTAATTTATTTTGAATCACAAATTTGTTTTAATTTTCACACACAGTTACAGTATTTACAGATGTTTAATTTAGGCTACCTGAATAGCTTCCTTTTGTTTATTAGATTGCTGATTGACTTGGTCTTCCGGATGCTGGTCCAGGATTTCATCAGCTGCAAGAGGGCCTGATTTAGCATCTCTAGGCAGATAATAGTTCTCTCTCTCAAGTTTTTATGTCTTTGATCATGATATATTTTAATAGGCTTTTCAATATCCAAGGTTTAAGATTTTTGCTTGCATCGAAGTCAGTTTCTGTGATTTGCAGAAGAGTAATATATGCTTAGTCACTGATAAATGAACCTAAGAAGCAAGAACTTAGAAGCTCTATTAACCTATAAGCTTCATTAATGAACTTAGAAGGAAGGACATACATATAAGCTTTATTAACCAGTAAGTAAATAATACTTGGCTTTATTAACCTATTTAACTTTAGGGCTTCATAGTAATCAGCATGTGAATGTCACATAGCATCGGACTGGAAAAAAATCCTTGAATTAACCGTGGTGCACTTGCTAGAAACTCCTTACTGAGAGCCTATACACCCTTGGGGATTAGTTGGGCTTTGATCCGGATAACCCGGTGCCAATCAAAAAAAAATGTCACATAGCATCTAGTAAAATTTTTGTATATATGATGGCTACAATATTTGGCAGATTAACAGGCAGAAGCATCTAGACACACCACTCTCAATAGAAGAATTAGGATCTCCTTCAAACTCCAAAGCTCAAGTGGAAGCACCAAAGAATTATATTGTTACAATTATTTATCAAGTTGATATCAGTTGCAGAAGTTGCATTGCTGGAATTAGCCAAGCATATTACCCTAATCACCTCAAATGCCATCTGTTCAGCCTTTGGGCATGCTTTCCCAGTTCCCAAAAAAAAAGGTGCTATATGTTCATACATGTGATTGTAAAGGTTTTGCTTGGCAAATGATAAAAGATGCATATTTAGGTAATGGATGGGTAAAAGCAACAAATATCAAAAACTCATCCTACAACATATATGCTTTTTTTCATTTTAATAACATGTTTAATGCATCATAAATGTATCACTAGGTCATGCATTCAATAGATTGGACATATCATCCTTTTTGCTCAAATAAGGTTAGCCTTATTAAGGGAGGTTATTATGAGAAACCCCATAACAAAGCATTGCAAGTTAAATTCAACATCTTAAAAGTGAAATTGCTTATATTTATAATTTGAAAACCTACAATGCATGTTTTCATATTCCCTACAAAGTACTATTCAGAAAATGTACAATAGATATCATCATTTCATGTTTAATTTTTATTATAAAAGACCTAGTATTTCAACATGACACTTCAAATTCAAATTCAAAGAGAACACACAGTAAGATCTTTTATAGTGATCACTAACCAACATAGTTTCTTACATTTGAACTTGAGATAAAATTTTACTGTTCAACATGGTAAGTATCCTTAACTAAAATATGAATTTCTAACTTTCAGGTTTACGAGAATTAGAAGCATTAATATGTTGCTTACGTTTTTGAGGCCCTGCTGGACGTGGTGGAGAGGGTATTAGAGTACTTGGAATTTGAGTGTCCTCTTGAGAATTAAAATTCAACTGTGTCTCATTGTCCCCTTCAATATCAAACCTGCCAAATCATTCAAAAAATAACCCCCCAAAAAAAGTAAGTCGAACCCACGAATTACCCAAAATGCAGTGTTTCCCTGCTTGGGACATATGATTAGGACTATAGGAGTTATTACATAACCATTTAGGAGAGTAGAGTAAGAAGCCCCCTGAACGAAAATTTACATTACATCATTATTCAGAAATTACCTTTCAAAGTGATGGTATGGCCGTGTATCTGTCTGATACGAATCAAATAAGGTGATGTTAGCGGCATCAGCTGTGAGGGAGAAAGAAGGATTAGCTGACGATATTACTAACAAATCTAGCATGATGATAAACACAGAAAATCAACATGTTTAATATTGTGTTTGGTTAGGAGATTTGATTAGGAAATTTGGAAAGAAAAATGAAAAAATGCGTGTGAAATTAGTTAAAATATAAACATATTTTATTCATATTTTACCTCTCCTTTCATTTTCCCTTTCCAAATTCCTTTCTCAAGTCTCCAACTAAACACAGCGTAAATGATCACAAAGAAGAAAAGGTTATGGGAGAAAGTAGAAAACCTTGATGGTATTGTTCTGATTGATCTTTTTCACTGGGATTGTTGTTGTTAATGTAAGGCTCATCCACATTATCTAGTCGCTGCACAAATGGGAAGGTCAAGCAGAGATTTTAGTTTAGCCCTACAGGGTTTTGGGTGAATTGGGTTGGGGGTTTTGGCACATACATAACTTCTGAAAATAAAAACTAGAAAAGTCGTAGAGAAAAAAAAAAGGGAATGTTACCATGGCAATATAGCCAGATTGTTGAAACCCCATCATTGTTCTTGTGTTAGTGAGGGACTCTTCGATCTCTCCAAGCTCTGCCTCTTGATTATTATAAGGTAATGTCACAGCTTCGTACCTTCAACAAACAAAAAAAAAATGAAAATGGAGAGAGAGAGAGAATTCAAAAGTTGTACGAATTGACGATCCTACCCTTCCTATTTCTCACGCCTCTCTCCCGCGAAAATGCACTTCAACGTTGTGATATCGGCTAAAGTGCGCCGTTAGTGAAACTTGAAATGATGAAATGCGCCATTATGAGCAAAACGAATCAAATTTCTATCATGCACCGATTTTCACTCTATACCTAGATGATGCTAAATTGCACTGATTGTTAATGAAGAAGCTAAAGTGCGCCGTTAGTGAAACTTGAAACTTAAAATCACGATGAAATGCGCCATTATGAGCAAAACGAATCAAATTTCTATCATGCACCGATTTTCACTCTATACTTAGATGATGCTAAATTGCGCTGATTGTTAAGGAAGAAGAAGAAGAAGAAGAAGAAGAAGAAAAGAGAAGGTAGGACTGACTTGGCCTGAGATTTGCCCTTGGGGAGGAGGGTCGGATCTGGAACAGATTTCACCTTCCATGCTTCGTTTAGCTCCACCTGAGAGAATCGCAAATTACTATGGAATTCTTTTTCTCGTTATTCAAAATTTAAATTAAGCAGAAAAACAGAGTGTATTCGATCATCGATAAAGGACACAAGGAATTCACAAACGTACGTACCAGAAAACGATTCACATCATCTATAAAAACACATCAAAAAAACTTATTCAGACTCTGTAATTCAGATATACGCCATAGAGAAAACTAAACAAATAAGATTCTAAAGCTTACCGTAAAGGAGCTTGACTTTTCGTTCGTAGACAATCACTACTCCACCTGAGAACGAACGAACGAGCCGAACAAAGCCAACGGTTAGTCGAGAACAGAAATTGAAAATTGAAATTGAGGTGAATTTACAGAGCTTTACCCATTAGAATTCCAGAGAGTCTCAGAGCCATTGGAACTGATGGATTTAGGATTTCTTCACTGTCAGGAGGTAGAAGAAAATCAATTTGATTGAAGTGAATGAATGATAGGTATAGAAACTAGAGAGAAAACTCACCATATTGTGATAATGTTGAGCTTATTCAGCTTCCTCCGATTGATCTTCGCGTGCATTGTCGCTGCCATCCTTGATTACACACATACAGAGAGAGAGAGAGAGAGAGAGAGAGAGCTTGAATTAGATCCATGTTCGTTAGATTACGAAAACAGAGAGAGTTGATGGAGATTGCAAATGCATTAGGAGTAAACTTGCATAAACAAACATAATTCAGATTCAATATGACCAAATATGGGAGGAAAATTTCACAGAAACAAAACAGAGTAAGAACCAATTCCCATGCAGTCGCATAAATTACAGTGAATATGAGCTAAACACAGGTTGCAGAAAAACACACAATTCACAGACGAAGAAATTGAAAACCAGGTTAAATTATGAAAAGTACATAAAAAGGAAAACAAAATTTGAATCACCATATCTGTCCGAGGGGAGCTTTCCGAGCCAGAAGCTGGTGAGAGTAGAACATTTGAGCGTTGTTGAAGACTACGACACTTAAAACAGGCAGAGAGCTATAAGAATGAGGAGAGAGAGAGAGAGAGAGACAGAGAGTCGTCAATGGCGAGAGGAGAGAGAGAGAGAGAGAGAGAGGTGTCACATAAACCGCATTGCGCAAGGATTTTCTGGGGTGCGGGATGGGGATGCTGCTGTGCTTTCAGCACACGCGGCTCTACGGTGCCGTTTTGGGCAATAAAAAAAAAATTACGTCTATTATTTCTAAGAAATTCCTTTACATTTTGGTTGTATACATTATGTTTTTTTAGAAAAAAATAAATATTATGTAAAATTTTGGCAAATTTATGAGAATTTGTAATTTAGAAATAAAAGTATTTTGTGATAATGTCATAAATTTTTTCATACTACTATTTTTTAACCATAAAAAATATTTGATCAAGCTCTTCTCCAGCTCGAAATTAGATTGGAGCATTCTGTTGGTCTGTGGAGCTTACTATGGATTCCATTTTGATGTTTCAAATTGTTTCAATATTTAGAGTTCTTCGAGTAATTTATTCCTATAAAATAATCACGTTGATCGAATATCGATAACCACTTGATCAAATCATATTTTTGTCAATAGTAAATATTATTTTAAAAATAATTTGTTAACAAAAATGTATTCTAATCAATTGGCTATCGATATCTGCTTAGCGTGATTTTTTGCATAGATGAAGTACTCGGCGAATCCTACACATTGATCAGTTTAGATTATCAAAATAAAACTCGTGATGAGTCCCACAAGTCCAAACAAAACCCTCTAGACCCTAAAATATGTTACATTACTAAAAAAATACATAATATATATCACAAAAATATATGATAAGATGCATCTAATACACACCATTTAAAGAGTGTGGGATTCCCTTTCTATAAAATTTCAATTTCTTACATAATTTCATTTAATTGAATAAGAAAGGAAGTAAAATAGAATTTTAAGCTCAACATAATTTGTTTGCTTTCTATTTGAATGAGTCGTTTAATAAAATAATATAAAAATAGTATTTAATCTATTAAAAATTCATATTTCACATATTTTATACATTTTTTTTACTTACTTTAATATAATTTTTTGTGCTCATACTAATATTAACCACCTCTTAATGACCCATGGTAAATATAAATGAAATTACTCACAAAAATTGGGCCTTGTATGGAAAGTGATTTTTTTGAGATTTTTTTAACTAAAATATGATTTTTTATTTTATTTTTTATTTTTTATTTTACACCTTTTACAAAAAAAAGCATTCAAAAGCAAAGCGAATAGAAATGAATTTGTGGCTTTTTTGTATGAGTTAAAATATCTTTGATTTAAAATTTTTTTTTTTTGACTTTTAAAATAAAATAATCACTTGCCAAACAAGTAACTCAATCTCATCTGTAAATTTCAAAAATCAAAATCTATTTATTTTTTATTAAAAAAAATGTTAAAAATAGTCCTACAGACAATTGTTAGTGTTGAAAAATTGTATACAAAAATGTGTTGCAGTGAAAATGTAAGGAATTTCTTAGAAATGGGTGTGTTTGGTTTGTGTTTGTAGAGTAGTTTTTGAGATAAAAAGTACGAAAACTTGTTTGGTTTGTCTTTTTTCAGAAATGATTTTGGAAAATTATTTTGGGGAGAGAGTTTTAAAAAAAGTGATTAATTTGATGTGTATAAGAGAGAGTGTGATTTTGGAAAGTAGGTAATCAAACAAAATTTTGAGATTTTTTTTGAAAAAATTTGTTTGGTTTAATTATTTTTAAAAATTTGTTTGTAGAGAATTTTTTTCAAATTTTTTTTTGAAAAACAAACCACACAAGCCCACTATTTAAAAAGAAAAACAAAGGGACAACTTTTTTAAAAAAAGAAAGGGCAATGGTAGAGGGTCACAATTTTTGTGGCTCAAATGGCTCAAAACTATCAAAACGACGTCGTTTTGGCATATTTTGATGCCAAAACGACGTCGTTTTGATAGTTTTGAACCATTTGAGTCACACAAATTGTGACTCTCAAACATTATTCAAAAAGAAAAACGATATACACCTGAGAAGTAAATCAATGTTTTTTGGCCCAAAATGACACCGTACAGCCGCGTAGCAGCCTAGCGGAAGTTGCTGTTCTTTGAGCATAGCAGCATCCCCTATATATATATATTAATGCATAAATGAAGGGGCATTATAAAATTTTGTTAAAAATTTATAATGATTTTCCTTGTTAATCGTCTCACGCTGGTTCAGTCCCAACCAGTTCAAACCGGTTTAGCCAAACCCTTGAATCGGCAACAGCCTGATTCAGGAGATTTTTCTGCTCGTTCTTGCTCATTTCAAAGTCGTTTTCAGTCATTCAAAAGTCAAAATCTCCAGAATTCTTTGAAGAATTTTTCCGTGGGTAATTTTACTAAATTTCCAGAAGAAATAATTAGACAAGGAGGCTATCCAAGGGTGTTACCTAGGAAAACATCAGAAAGCGCTATTGTGTTCCTTGGGCTCGTACCTATTTTCATAAAACTCATAAGAAGAGAATTGGGTTTAATTATCCATTGGGTTTTCATCATTCTTCTTACCCAAGGCAAGGAGACCATTCTACTCCTCCACATTGATATTTTGCTTGTCACAGGGGCCGACTCAACAACTACAAGGCTCATTCTTATTAAAACTTGTTGTTATATTTATTTTACTTATTTGTTTATTTTGTTTGTAATATCCACATTTGTACTTTTATTGTAACACATTTGTTTTAGAATGGCTATTAAAAATGCTATTGATTCTTCAAGAATTGAGATGCTTAATGGAAATAATTTTCGAGCATGGAAATGCCACATTTCTTATCTTCTTACACATGAAAAAATGTTGCACACTTTATTCACTTACAAACCAGATGATGATTCTAATTGGTTTCAAAACAAATGGATAGAGAATGATGCAACGACAAAGGCAACTATGTTACATAATATGAAAGACAACATTATTCCGCTATTTGAAGAACCTGAAACTGCAAAACAATTGATGGAAGCACTAGAAAGTAAATATGGAGTTTGATCAAACACTCAAATACAATTACTCTTGGACAAATATAATAACACTCGTATGCGTGATAATGATAGTGTTGGTGATCGTGTTAATCAAATGGAATTAATTGTTAAAGAATTATCCAACGTTAATCACTCTTTGTCGGACAAGATGCAAGTAATTACCATACTTAATAGTCTTCCATTGGCTTAGAATCATATTGTCACATCTCTAACTCGTAACAAATGAGAGATTTCAATGGTGACATTGCATGTATTTTTAGTTTTGGAAGAAGAAAGAGTGAAGCGAAGGCGTAAAAAAGAATTGTTTTAACTTGTTGATGGCTCAATCATTGCCACCTCTACAAAATAATTCCCACACACCATTCAACAAGAGAAAGACTACTTCTTTCAAGAAAAAATGGAAGAAGGGGTTCTAGAAAGGATGGAAGAAACAAGGATGACACAAACAACAACATCACAAGAATCAGGCTGGTCCATGTTACAATTGCAGTCAAAAAGGTCATATCAAAGCCACTTTTCTTCAAAACAAGCATAAAAATGATCATAAACCCATTGCCACGACAATTTCTAAAGAAATGGTCCTTGAACCTTCATCAAATTCATGGTGGATTGATTTTGTTGCAACTAGGCACATTGTGCAAAACAAAGGCTTGTTCGTGGAGTTTACTGAAAAGAATATTGGTGAACACAGAATCTATATGGGCAACAACTCGTATAGTGATGTTTTGGGTATCGGCAATTGTCAATTCTCAATTAATGAAACTTTAATCGTGCTTCATGATGTGCTTTATGTACCTAGTATTCGCCGAAATTTAGTTTCAGTTCCAGTATTAATCCAAAAGCGTTTTGAGATTAAGTTTAGATTTAACACAATGTTGATTAAGAAAGGAAATGTATTAGTGAAAGGTGTAAGAGTGAATGACATGTACTCTTTTCCTATTTATAATAATAAAGTATGTGTTTATGATTATTTGTTGTTTTTACCAATAATAGTTCTTATTTATGGCATCTAAGATTAGGTAACATTAATAAAAATAAAATGCCTCGAATGTTTAAAAGTGGCCTATTGCCTAAAGTGTGTTTCGATTATTTTGATACATGTGAGCCATGTATCAAAGGAAAAATGACTAGCAAGCAATTTTGAAAACATTGGAAATCATTACTTGAAGTAATTCATTCAGACATTTGTGGCCCTTTAAGAACTAAAACTCATCGAGGCATGGACTACTTCATTACTTTCACTGATAATTATTCAAGATATGGACATATCTATCTTCTTAAACACAAATCACAGGCAATTGAAAAGTTTAAGGAATATAAATTAGAGGTAGAAAAGCAACTTAGTCGGTCCATTAAAAACTTGAATAATGATAGAAGTGGCAAATATGATGCTATGGATTCTTTTTGCAAGGACAATAGCATAAAATATTTGTTTACAATGCCATACACTCCACAACAAAATAGGATTGCAGAAAGACGAAATCGTACTCTAATGGAAATGACAAGGTCTATGATGGCTCATGCTGACCTTCCTATTCATTTTTGGGGATAAGCCTTATCCACCGCTGCGTACATACTAAATAAAGTCAAAACAAAAGCTAAACTTCTAACTCCTTATGAATATTGGAATGGTACTAAACCTAATGTTCTAAATCTCAAAGTTTGAGGATGTAAAGCACATGTACTTATTCCAAAACCTTAAGGAATGAATTGGGATGTAAAACTTGGGAATACAAGTTTATTGGCTATGTTGAAAATGGGAGTAGTTCTCGTTTTTACCATCCTGAACGTGAATTAATAGAAAGTAGGGATGCTATTTTTCTTGAATCCACTGATTTTGTTACTTCTATTGAACAAATTGAATTGTTTTTCGAGATATTTCAGGATTCTTCTCTTCCCTATTTGTCACCAGCACCACAAGTTCTCCCAGAACCACCTAATAATGGGCAGAAAAGAAAAC